CTCCGACTTGCAGTCAGTGAAGCTATTCCTTAAATATTCAGTATGGCCTTAAACCAGGCCCGTGTTACAGTATGCATGTTACATAATGTTCTGAATCTTTAAATTAAACGTATGCATGTGGGTCTTGAGTTCATAAAAAGCGCTGAGGTGCCCTTCTTCTTGTAGTCATGGGAAGGCTGTAGTGCTGGTGGATGCAGCCCTGCTTTCTTCGTCCCTTTGCTGGCAGACAGGCCCAGCTTGGGCTTCTCCTCAAGGCTGCCAAGCTCATCCTGGGACTGCCACAGCCTTTGCTGTGCTCCAGGAGCCTTCCCTCCAATTCTGGCTTCCTAGATTCACAACACAAGCACGCCTGCACGTCCCACCGCCTCGCTGCTCGTTTCTTGTCTGTCCCACACGATGTGATGTCTTCCTTTCCCCAGTTCTGCCAGCACAACAGTTGGTGTGGCGGCTCATTTGGCTCGTGTTGCATAAATTGTGGAAGTGTTTATTTGGTTTAAATTAAAAACAAAGTCATGTTGGCGAGGTTTTTCATAAGGCAGCTCAGTTTCACAGTCTGCTCTGCAGATGGGTTGCAGGCCGTGGCACAGGGGCAGGAGGGAGTGCAGGGGATCTGGGGTGTGGATCTCTGCCCAGTCCCCTGCATCATGACACTGCAACCATCAGGAGCAGCATCAGCAGCTTACAAGAGCAACTCCAATCTGGGATTTATTTTAGTTTTTTTGGTGATGTTGCACTCAGGGATTTATTGGTCTTTTGGATGCACTCAGCTCGTATGTTTGAGATGTATTTTGAGAGCCAGAAGCTGGGATTCTCAAACGTACCCATCAGGAGTGAAAGAAAAGCATGCAAAACTGCAAACTGCACAAGCACACAAGAGCCAGCAATGCTGTGAGCAGGTGAGAGTTCACCTTGCAGAGCATTGCTGTAGCTCTGAAGAGCAGAGCCTCAAATTCAAGATTGCCCGTGATGTTCAAGTAGACTGCGGCTCTTACAGCTGGCAAGGAGAGTTGACTTCAGCATGGAGGTGAGTCTGGGCTCTGCATTGAGTCTTGAGCAGGCTGTGCGACTGCTGAAGGCCAGAGCAGGGAGTCCTATCAAGGAGCTGCCTGTGCGTAAGCTATGTGGGCCAGAGTCAAGAAGAGTTTCAAGGTCAGTGAGTAAAGCAACTGAACTCGATACATTCTTTGTTGGAAGCAAATAGAGAAGCAGCAGCATCTTAGTGAGGAAGAACAAAGCAAAATGTGGCAGAGACTGAAAGAGTGCACGTGCATCCCAAACCAGATGTTACACTACACCACATTTTACAGAGTACGCATTAAGTACTGCTGTACAGTGTGCACGGCTGTCAGCTCCCTCCTCAGCCCTGATGTGCTCAGACACTGTCTCTGCCCTGAAGATTTGGCACTGTAACTCAATGTGGCTGGAATAGAGAAGGGCACTGGGGGTGTGGTGGCTGCTCCAAGGTTACACAGCGGAATAAAACTGAAACCAGAGATTCTTGTCCTGCCTCCAGTGTTTGACCCACTAGATAGCAAGCTTATAATGTGGCTTTTTATGCTTGCTTACTGCCCTCTGTGAAGCTCAGTGCTTTATAGGTATTGATTACTTAAGCCCTGAGTTGTGCCTGATAGAGGAATGTTATAATAATTGTTAGTACAGCATTTATTTCAAGTTTAGCCAGAGATAACATAGCAGAGGATAAAGCAAGATCTAAGCCAATCAATTCTTGGTATAATGTAATTAAATGATACTTTATACGTAAGAAGCATTAATTCAGCTTTAATGGCTTGAATTGGTTTAGGTTTCTTAAGAAGCAATTGACGAAATACAGAATAAAAGGATGAACTCCTGGTCATGTTGAAATTGATTGGAGTTTTGCCATCAATCCCAATGAGGCTCGAGTTTCTCCAGCCTTGCATCAGCAGTGATGCTGAGCTGGCTGCCCTGCACTCGTCATTCCTTCTGCTGCTGCTTCTCCTTACTCAGCGTGCCATTCCCTCCAGTGCTGGATGTGTCATACAAGTCACATCGCCCTGGGACTTGATGAGGAATGTGGGTGAAGTAATGTTGCTGACTGAATCTTGGCCTAAACAGTATCCTGATTTTTATTTATCTTTTGGTACAGAAACCAGAGGAGTTCTCTGATGCATGCCGTCTCAATCCATTTAACTGTGATTGTTCATGTGTCTAGCCATAACTACATGCTGCAATGCCTTGGTGGCTTGGGTCTGAAAAGACTGCATTTAGTGCAACTCTTTTTTCTGCTCCTGCTATCATTGCTAAACCTGGATGTTGCACTTAGTATATCTACATCATCTTTTTATTTTTTCCTTTTGGAGAAGAAGAATTTGCCTCTGCTCTCAGAGATGTTGCTAGTGTCCCCATGTGAGGCTTGGCAGTGCACATCTGCTGTGAGAGGCTGGGGTGAGTGAAGGGTGTCCCAAAGTTTGCCACTGTTTGTCTGCAGATAATTTTGAGCAGGACTGACACAGTCCTCAGTCCTGACTTCAGGCACATCTGTTACACTGGTGGGCCTGATTCTGCAGGCATTCCACATGCACAGCTTCTCCTGGAAATTATGTATATGCAGGGCTGCAAGACTGGTCCTATCATGACTATTTCCTGGCAGTGGGAAAAGGCAGAAACTATTTTTAAATGAAAGCTTTGAATCAGAAGAATATTGCAGAGTGCAGCAAAATTTGTGTCAAAACCCTGAAATCATGGACTCGGCAGTTTTCTCATGCCAGCGGTTTTCTTCTTTTTATGGTTTTAAGACTGTGTTTTTGGAGAATTGGGCTGAGTGTTTTTTGGTGAGATATGTCTATTCTTCCTGGTGCGCATTATCTCAGCAGCAGCATTCCCTGTGCAAGGCAGGCAGAGGAGAGGCAATGCACTGTGATGTGCTAACAGGGGTGGGGCTTTGCAAAAGAAAACAGAAGAAAACAAAAAAAACCTCGTGATTTGCCTTGCACACAATCAAAATAGTGCTTCAAGTTTGCCCCCAAGTTCATTATTCAGCTGTTTGTTTGTTTTCAGATTTTGTGTTATGTTCCTACATCTGTGCACGTTTCCAGCTTCTCTGTGGTCATTTAGGAAAACCAAAAAAAGAGAAAACCTGTGTTTCTTTCTCTTAGCACCAAGAAATTATGCCCTCTTTTCCCCGTCACTTGCTTTTGCATAGCTCAAGGATGACCCAAAGGGCTTTTGCTCAGATTTTCATTTAAAACGAACCATTTGATTTGATCAGAGAACATTATTTCCCCCCAAAGAACTTTCTGAATGATCTGAAGATGTAAAAACAGGCAGTTTACAACCAAAATTGTTTTGCTGTCTTTTACATAGTGGTCACTAGATAGCTAATATCATAAAATCCACTGCCTCAGAGGGAGATGCCTTAGTTAATTAGTTACAATCAGTACAGTGCTTAGGGATTCAATGCTCCTGCCTGTATGTTTGCCTGCTAACATAATCATAGGTTAGCATATCGTGGCTTATTTCCCATACCTGTAATGCAAGGAAACTTTCAGAATCGCATAATCATAGAGGGAGACAACGAGCATCTTTCTAATCAGTCATTTTCCATTCTCTGGACTCCTAAATAGCTCAGGTGAGCCCAATTCTCAGATTTCCTGTTCAACAAACATGAAGTTTCCCAGTCCTACTTGGACTTAGAAATAGTTAATTCACTTGCACATTTCTGATGATACTGTCTTAAGCCTTGTTTTCCAGAGCCGTGGAGTTGACTCTGCACACAGGTCCATAGATATAAGCCCTCCTTGTTTTCTGGGCAGCAACCACCCCTGAGGGGTAAGGGACTGTGTTGAAGATGGCACAATGTCCAAAGGGAGGCCATTCACAAGCGATGTCCTCTGGGGCCTGGTGCTAGGTCCAGTCCTTTTCAACATCTTCCTTAATGATCTGGATTCCAGGCAGTGTACCCACAGCAAGTTTGCAGACTTGTTTATAAGAAAACTGGGAGGAGTGTCTGATGTTCCAAAGGCCATGCTGCCATCCATAGACAGGCTGGAGAGGTGGGCTGACAGGAACCTCATGTTGTTCAACAAGTGGAAGTTCAAAAAGCAAGAGCACACTGCTGGAAAGCAGCTTAGTACGAAAAGGGGGTCACCAGTGGACACCAAGTTGAAGCTAGCAATGTGCCCTTGCTAGCTAGAGAAGGCTAATGGTATCCTGGGCAGCATTAAGAAAAATATTGCCAGGGGGTGGAGGAGGTGATCCTTCCTCTCTCCTTAGCCCTGCAGAGTTCACACCTGGAATGTTGGGGTCAGTTGTGGGCTATCTAGTACAGAAGAGATACGAAACTTGGAGAGAGTCCCATTAAGTCCTCTCCTATAAGGAGAGGCTGAGAGAGGAGGAGTTGTTCAGGCTGGAGAAGAGAAGGTTCAGGGGGATCTCATCACTGTGTGCAAATACCTGAAGGGAGGATGCAAAGAGGACGCTTTGCAGGGTTGGCAGAAGAGGCGGCGGGCACAAAGAAGCACAGGAGATCAGGAAACGCTGTGATAGTGTGATAGTGACCGAGCATGCCAGGGCCTGTGGGTGTCCCTACTTGAGCTGGGATTGGAACAGATGGATCCAGAGGTCCCTTTGAGTGTCAGACATTCTGTAATTCTGTAACTTTTGGAACTAGGAATCTGGCATTCTCCAAGGGCTGTAGGTGGCTGTGACCCTGGCCCCAGTGGACTGGCTCTTGTGGCAGTGCTGAGATGGGCCAGCCTGACACTGCTGAGGGTCACTGAGCACACTGTATTCACACATCCCTTCAGGGGCTTGTCTGCAGCCCAGATATGTCACCACACAGCCCAGCCTGGTGATTAATATTGCACAGATTCTACATTTTACTGTTTAGGTTCTCCAAAATTAAATGGCCAGGGAAGACAACCTGGTGCATTCTTTGGTTCCAGAACTTGGGGGAAATATAGTAGCACAAGGAAAAGAGAGAGAGATAAAAGCGCAGCCTTCACCCAGGTCTTGCTTTCCAGGTGACCTCGTATCCCGAGCCATGCACCACCTCCAGCCACTGAATGCCAAGCAGCACGGGAATGGCACACCAATGCACCAGAAGCAGGGATCACTCTACTGGGAGCCGGAGGCTTTGTACACCCTCTGCTACTTCATGCACTGCCCGCAGATGGAGTGGGAAAACCCGAACGTGGAGCCATCAAAAGTCACGCTGCAGACTGAGAGGTAAGAGCCACCTTCGAGTATGTCTCATATCTTTGTGAAGACATTCTGCTGATAAATCAGTGTTGCTGGCTAATTGCTAATTACAGCTTGTGCATAGGAGGCTGCAGAGCAGTCTGTTTTGGCTTGGGATCACCTTTCTGAAATCCCGTTTCTCTTACTGAAGTGCTCCATGGCTGACCCAATATATATCAAAAGTGACACCCAGTGGCTACATTCAGCAAATTGGTTCCAGATGTGCACTTGGTAGAGATTTCCGTTTTCTTTCTTTGTTGCTCAGCTATTCTATGTTTTGGAAAAGAAAATGAGAACTTCTATTTCTGGCATAGCAGGTCTAGGTTTAAATGTGTCTTTCTACACATTAATAGGGTTTGACAGCTGTGATTTGGGAAGTGGAAAATGAGTAGAGTAGTGTTTAGCAAGGAGGGGTTGTTAAAGACACAGTGCCCCAGTTGTGCGAGGTACCAGGGTAGGTTATGTACTCAGCACAAGAGGAACCTGGGGGCTGTGAGCTCCTGCCCAGCCTCTGGGGTGTGCTGCTTGGGATGTGGCTGCATCCAGCTCTGTTGCCTTCCTCCACCCTTTAGTATCAACCAGGGCAGAAGAAGCGAGTTCAAGACTCAGTCCTGCTCAGAATCTTCTGTAAAGAAAGGAGATGTAGATAAAGCCATCTTGTCAAAAATGCAGCAGCCTCTCTAGTAACAAGAGCCAAGCTCTGCCTCCACTTGTGGTCTGACGTATGTTTTGCTATTTCACTTCCCTGAACCAGGGGTTGCCGCTGAGATGAGAGGAATGACCAGTGCTTGAAAAGAGATGCATATACATGTTTAAGATGGTGTATCATGATGGTGCAAATGCCAGCTGAACTCCACATTCATGTCCTGCTGTATCATGCTGTATGTGTGAGCCAAACTGATACATGCACTGACATTTGCATGTATGGGGCTTGGTTACTGCTTTAGTATGAAGTTTGCATCTCAAAAGCAGTGTTTGAGAATGTCATTATATAGGTAAACTTAAGTGGTATATAATATGATATTTTCATTGAATTATTTTTAAATTGACTCGTAGAAAATCAGAAGACGAAACTCTAGCATTAGTGATTCTACTGGGAACTTTGCCATTTTTCTTTGGGTGGCATTTTGTTTTTTTCCAAGTTTGGGTCACTCAGTTAGCATGGTCTTTGGTTTTTGCTCTATTGACTCCCATGTGTGAAAGAAACAGAAAGGCTAGTTAAAAGAACCTGGAATTTTAATATCTTTCTAAATCAGTTTTATTTTGTGAATTGTTAGCCAACCTGGCTCTTGCAGAAGGCCTACCTCATGAGCAAGAGTTCTCGTGGTTAGTACTGTGCTAAAAGCGGTGACTGAAATTAGAAGATATTCTCACCTGATCTGTAGTCACCATCTGTGGGAGTTAATGCCCTTGGGACCAGTGGAACTATAAAGGTTAGTAACAATGAGGCTCTGGGTTTGTAAAATTTCTAAAGACTTTCCTGTGGAAGGTGAGAGGGGCAGGAATATTTGTAGAATCTCATTTAGCATTTGCTTTAATAGGTTTTCCTTTTCCTGAGGTAGTCTTAATATATCTTCTCTTTGTTAGAGCAATTGAAATGCTGATTATATAAAGCCAGATGCAATTTCTCTTCTTTGCTATATTACGAGTATTCAGTTTGGCAAAATGTCTTCCTTTGGAAGACCGGTTTAACAACTGTGGTGTGTGGTTAGGGCCAAAGTAAGTACTCAGTGTTATTGCCAAGAGTTTGTGGTCAATTTTGGAAGGAACAGATACTCCTTCTATTGCCTAATCAAACATGCGTTTGTACTTTGTGCTGGAAAACACAAGTGGAAGTGATGCAGGGGTAAGCACGTGCCCAGATATTTCCACTGCATGTGCTGTGTAGCATGCCTCACCAGCACCAGCTGGATGGAAGTATCTTGGGCTGCCCAGCAAGTAATCCAGTTCAGCTGATTTCTGTTTAGTGCTCTGAGAAGCCTCCCTTCATATTTCCAGTCAAAGACTTATCAGTGCTGTTCTTTCTATGCAGGCATGCTTTATGGTCCGTGACTTATTTCTGGTGTTTTCAGTTTTCGTGGTGGGTTTTTATGCATTATGAGGAAGTGGGTTTGTTAAACATGACATTTTTATATGCAGAATATTTGCAGGCTTGATGCCTTATCTCTGTTCCTTATTCCCTCTCTTTTCCTTCGGCTGTGACAATGACTTTTATGTTGGAAGAAACACAGAGAGAAGGAAGGAGATCCAGGCAATTTCCCCCTTCCCTGGCCTCTCTGGGTCCCGGCTGGTGCAGAGAAGCCAGAAAATGAGTGGATCTGGCCACAAACAGTATTTTCTTGGAACAAGGGTTGTACTTGGCTCATTTGAAGACAACCTGGCTACTATTTTGGCCCTCTTTCCTGATCATGCATGCCCAGGATAGGGAGTGGGTTATGAGATGTGGCCAGAGAACTCCCCAAGTTCTCACAGGGCTCAATGGCCCAATGTTAGCTTCTCCTCCTTCTCAACCATCTCTATTCCACTCGGGCTTGGGCTCTCAACCACAGTTGAATTGGGTTGAGTTACAAAACCGCAAAGGCTCTGCTTGTTCTTCTGCAGCAGCTGGGTGTGGAAGGGAAGCTGGAGCCTAATCCCTGCAACCAGTATAGTTGCAGTCCTGCCTGGGTTAGCACTTCCTAGCATAAAAAGCAACACCTCATGTGAAGTCTCATGGGATGCATAAAATCGGATGTTTACCTTTGAATAAATCCAACACTTTGCTTCTAGGGAGTATTTTCTAGGGAGTGTTTCTCTGTGTTCTTCACGGGGGTAAAGAAATAAGAATGCAGTCTATTTATAATAGTGGTTGTCTTCACATAAAATGAAAGGGAAAAAATATTATGCAATAATGAGGCTGGGAGAGTAGGAAAGTGGCGAGGATTTCTCAGAAATTCTGGAAAATACTCCCTTCTTCTCAAGCTCCAGCAAACCCAACCTCCACATTCATACGCTTCTTTCAATCTGATCAGATTTGAACAAACCCTGTGCCTTTTGGCTGTGTTGTTGGCACTACCACAAGCCAGTCCTGCTGGGATAGATTATTTCATGGCCCTGGGTACCATGTAGATGGCTATTTTGGCAGGTGTGAAAGTGCAGGAGGGGATTTGGATCTGTTTGTGAGGCCACTGTTCCTGACAGCCAGGATGCAATGGAGACGTTTGTCTTGTGCCAGATGTTGTCTGTGAAACCATCATTCCTCTGGTGCCCTCACGTGCAGGTGGCTGCAGATCATTTAGGTTTGTTCATTCTTCTGCTTTCCTGGGAATTGAAAAAGGAAGAATTTGTCAATTAGACGGCTGTTGCCAAGATTTCTTTCTAGCTTGCTGCTTCTAGTTTAATAAAAGGATCTGTCCTGTGGTTGTGTTTTGCTTCTAGGCTTCCAAAATTATTGCAAGTAATTTCTTAAGCACCGGAAAGCACAGAATCTGTAGCTGCAGATTTGTTTGATGCTTTTTCTTAAGTGGTTCCTTACCCACTTTTACCCACAGCTGTATTGACAAAGTCCTCATGACTTCCTAACTCTCCATGTTCCCCATTAACAACTCATTGAGAAGCAGTGGCTCAGCATTCAGCCAGTCCAGGGCCACCCATTAATTCTGCTCACAAGGCAGCAAAGCACCTTCCCCATCAATTCCTCAGTTCCTTCAGCACTTGGTACGGCTGTGTGCATAAAATAGTTATAAAACCATTTCACTAAGAATGCGCCAGGAAGATGTGGCCCTGCTTTAAGTCATTCTGTGGTGCAGACTCCAGCAAAGGCCAGCAGAAAGCAGAGCGACCCCTCAGAGTGCTGCTGAGAGCGGAGAAAGCACAAGCATTGCACCTCTGGAAGAAATTAGAATGGGAAAGTCCTGCTATGAAGCTGGTTTATCCTGCAGCGTGTTTGCAGAAGACATTACACGTTTGGTGTGCTAGTATGGCATAATCTTGTATTAAACCCATGGTAAAACCATGGCCTCGCTGAACTCAGGAGTTATCACCATTGCTTATTTCTCTGGGAGCCACTGAGAGGGAATCTCAAATTCATCCTCACTCATCCTCTGCATTCGCATCCTAAGTATCAAACTTCCCACTTGTTAAAAATTGCTTCAGAATTGGTATTGGCAGCTGCCTGCACACTGGATTGCGCACGGCACACGAAGCAGCACAGACAGCATTTGTAGCTCTGCTGTCAGGCACCGTATCCTTGCAGTGCTGGGGCTGTATTCTAAACCTAATTTATCAAGCGAGGCTTAAGCTGTCCGTGTGATCTCTATAGGGTTTGTTAAATAGAGAAAACCGTGTGCAGCGTTGGGAGGAACGTAGCACCAGGGCTGCTCTGTGCCGCGTTCCTGACAGCGCTCCTGCGGCTGGCTGCTTTCCAGGGATTTCTGTCGCAGCCAGGTGTGTCACATTTGATGTCGGAACAGCCTGGGAAACATCTCCCTGCTGTCGCTGCCGGACAAGTCATCGCTCTGACTTGATTGTGTTTCAGGTCTTGCCCAGAACTGCTTTCATGCAGGAGAGGCAACAGGGACTGCGTGCGTAACCCCTGGCTGTGAGCTGAAGGCCCGTGACTTGCAGATCTCTGGTGCAGACCCGAGCGTTGCAGGCTAGGTGCATAGAGCATATGGGTGAACGGTCTCTCTGCTTAGGCAGATCCTTCAGCCTGATTAAAATGTAGAACTGCCTTTGTCAGAGTCTTGGGCCATGCTTAGCAAGGTTTCTGGAGTCACAGAGGGGTTGAGCAGCCGGCTCCCGGTGCAGTACCTCAGGAGTGCAGTGGGAAGCGTTGGCTCTCAAGGAAGACAAGGAGTTTGTGGTTTAAATATAAAATGCACCCATTCAAAATGTCTGCTAAGGACTGGAGAAAGTGTACTTTTCTGGTCTCCAGTAGTGCTAACGATGGGCTAGCATTATACATGTGGTTTTATTGTGTTTTCTAAAAGAAGATTGTAAGAGTCAAGAATACTTTGCAACCTGCATATTAGGATTTTCTTTCAACAACACCCATGAAAATATAAACACAGAAGACAACCAAATGAAATGATCTTTGCATCATTTTAAATTTGCTGACTCATATCTGCAAGCAGAAACATCTCTCCACCTTTGTCTGAATCCACCTGTGCTTTTCTTGTAAAGGTACGGCCTTCCCTTCTCTGCTGGAGGGCAAGTTGTATGAGGAGCAGCTGAGGGCCCAGTGTTTGCTCAGCGCAGAGCAGAGGAGCTGAGGGGAAGCCTGATGGTGGCTGCAGCTCCGCACAGGGAGTGGAGGGCAGCGCTGAGCTCTGCTCTGTGTGACAGCGACAGGGCCTGAGGGAACGGCATGGAGCTGTCAGGGGAGGGCAGCTGGGGGTTAGGGACAGGGTCTGCAGCAGACAGTGATCACGGCCCCAAGCTACTGGAGTTCAAGGTGCATGGGGACACTGCTGTCAGATGGATAATCTGATTTCCGGGTGGTGCTTTGTGGAGCCAGGGGTTGGGCTCTGTGATCCTTGTGCTCTCTTCTAACTCGGGAATGTTCTGTGACTGTTGTCAGAAATACTGCTCACTCTCACTGTTGCTTTTAAAATTGTAAATGCCAGCAATGACCTGTATGTTAAGGTAAAGCAAGGTCAGGTCTGTACAGCTGTGCCCACTTTCTATCTACTGAAATTGAGAGGGGGACAGCAAGAAACATCTGAGATCCAGTTAGGACAGTTATGCCTGCAGATGTTTGCAAGGCAGACGAGCTCATGAGTCCTGAACTGTCCCAAAATAGCTGTGAGAGAAGTGCAGGGTGTGGGGCTGCAGCAGGGAAGTAGGGAATGCCAGCGAGGTCAGGGTTTGGCCTTTACAGCTGTAGCTGAGTATGTGCTGTCACCTCCCCAGTGTATCCCATGAGCCTCAAATAGGTGTGGAAGAGGAAGGAGGCCTGAGATGCTGCTCCTGTAGGAATAGGTGTCTTAATGTGGTGAGAACAGCCCTGATAATTCTCTTCAGTTTAAGCAGTGAGGGCATGCTTGAGGATGATCTGGTTGTCCCCTTGCCAAGGGCTGGGGACAGTGCTGAGAAGAGTCTGGCCTCTTGGGAGCTCTTCATCCTCCTCCCCCTGCAGCTCTTCTGCATGGCACCAGGGCTGCCTCAGCACAGAGACCTCTCTTTGCATCCCCATCTGGGACGGTACTTCCTTTAGTTCAGGAAAACGTCAAAGCTTGTGCCAAAATCCATTCATTTTCGGAATATGACTTAAGATCATGTTTAGCTTCCCAGCAGTGCATGGAAGTTGCCTGGTGTGTGCCCTTACTGCTAAGCGCAGGTGCAGAGGGGCCGAAGGAGGAGGTCAGTGACTTTTCTGCTTCTCTGCTCTGGATCTCCTGGTTGCTGCCTGCCTTTGTACGGCAGAGATAAATCAGCTGTGAGTGCTATAATGATGTGATGCATTCACTTGATCTGTTTTTGCAGAGTGTCATTTGGAAAGTGATACATACCTTGCTGATGTCATGCTATCGTGTGGATTGCCGCCTTCCTATAACTTTGTAATCCTCTTTCTCCTTTGGCACACAAATAGCATTCAAAAAAACCCAACCAACTTCACATGATGCATGGACTCCTGAAGGGTATTTTTAACCTATTGCTCTCAACCATATTTGGTTCTCCTCTCAAAACACAAATTCCTTGACATGCTCAGATAGGCAGTGGCGGGGCTTTCTGCCCTGGAAAAAAGAATGTAATGTATTCTGATTGAATCCCACATCCTCCCATGCAGAGTAAAACTGGTCTTTTGAGAAAATCCTGCAGCTTCCCTATAACACTGCTTCTTTTCCCTTTCAGGATTTATTGCACCAAATAAATTCATTTCTATTTCTCTGCTGAAGCTTGCAAGATCAGGAGAGAAAACATGACATCTTGCAGCAGAGTTGATTCAGTTCCTGTAAATAATTTTATTTGCCCTGCTCAGTACTGCAGTGGGGCAAATCTGCTGGGTGAGCTTCTGCCCTGCACAAGAGGGGAGAATAAATGAGCCCCCGAGTTGCTTGTTTTGTAGGAGAGTGAACTATGGCCTAGAATTTAGCTTCCTGTTAACTGTTTCCAGTGCACCAAGGTCTGTGTGTAATTATATACATTTTTACACTTCCATCATGATTTGCACTGCTTCCCTGTTTGCTCGGTGAGTGATGAAAGCAACTCCCACCGATCAGTTGTTCCCAGCAGTCCTGGCTGCAGGGAGCTGCCTTGCCAAGCCCTTTGCCACCAGCCTTCTGGAGCAGCATGCAGCAGAATTCCCTGTTCTTTTGTCCCCTATTCCCCTTAGAGTGAAATAGTGTACCCTCTCCATCCTCCGACCACTGCCATCACTGTGATCCTGCTAGGCTCTGGAAATCTGATCACAGTGGTTGTGGGAGTTTGTTCTCTTTTTATCATTCTCTTTCCATGGCAGTGGCAGGTCTGGAGAAAGGGAAAGCTGGGAAACAAATGCAGCCTGGTCTCAAGGTGATGGAAATGCAATGGAATGGAATAATAATGGAAGTGTCAAGTCAGCAAAAGTTGTCATATTTCAGAAGGAGGTTATTCGTTTACGTTCCCGTGCGAATTGGGAACCTGGTGTCCTAGGGAAAGTCAGTGGCCTTAGGGCTTCTGCATCCTTCAGCACTTTTGAAATATCTCATCCTTCCTTAAGGATATTAATATCAGAGCTCTGTAAAGTTGGTTCTTAAAAAGAAAAAAATAAATGGCATAAAAAGCTATAAATAGGAAAAAGATATTCCAGAATCAACATTTGATTAAATCATTTTTCTCAGGGTAGATTATTTTTGGGTAAAGTTAGGTATTTAAAATGCAAAGTTTTTGCCTACAGGGTACCTAATCCAGTCTTTTTTTTTTTTCCTCTCTGTTGGAAGGGACTATGGAAGGCAAGACAAGTCAGGCAAAGCAATATGAGATAAAAAGGAGCAGGAGAAGGGAAGGAAGCACAAGTAGGGGATGATGCTACTAACAAAATGAGATACTGAGTTAATAAACATAGAATGTATGGCTAAGAAGGAGAAAGGGAGCCATTAAGGAAAGAAAAAATGATTGCCTTTTTTCCAGGGCAAAGATGATGATAAAAGGTATAGGGTTCAGGAGGAGAAGGTAGAAGCATGTTAATAGCAGATGTTCCTTTAGCAGTCATTTACAAGCTTCATCTCTCTTTCTCTTTCTTCCTTTCTTTTTTTTTTTTGTTTATATTATAATATTAAAACAATCTTGTTAGCATCCCTTAGCCATGGTATTTTCTTTGCAGTTTGGACAGAATGGTCTTGCTATGTCTACGTAGTTTTCAGCAGTCCTATCTAAGTACAGAACTTTCAGCATAGTTGACGTGTAGCTTTTGGGCAGATTTTTTTTTTTTAATTATTATTTCATGATTTTAGAATTTTATACTAATCTTCTACCCTACCTCAGCCCTTCTCCACTCAGACTTTGCTTTCTTATGCACCATGGAGGATGCCATCAGCGCTGGGATGTCCACAAAAACCATTTGGGGGTTGGAAGGCTACTGCTGTGACTTGCATTGCTCTCTAGGTTTTGTTCACTGTGATCTCCCAGGCAGTTACGTTCCAAGATGTTCAGCTGCAGATCTTCTTTAGTTTTTTTAAACCCTAAACTTGGACTTGGAGTTACAGTTCTTGAGTTTACATGTGGTCAAGCAGTGTACTGTGTGCTTCTTGTAAGGCATGTGCTGCTCCTGCCAGAACATGGGGCTGCCCAGGTGCTGTGGAGCGAAGGGCTGTGTCTCTGGCAGTGGCCACATGCTGGCAGTGACAGAGTGGGGCTGTGACCAAGTCCCACTGTGCCCTTTGGGGACAGTGGTTTTGCTCACGTGGCAGAACAGCCACTACCCAAAGGCAGAGCAACTTGATACAGTAGGTATAAAAGTGAGATGATCCAGTCTGATTGCTGATGCTGCTCAACAATGCAGTGGGAGCAGCTGTTGAGGTCCCGCTTTGCAGCAGGGTGCACATTGCATCAGTGGAGATGCTGGAGATGTCCTTGCACGTTGCCTCCGCGTGCCGAGCACTTAGGGTCAGGATCCCCTCTCTCCACCCTCGTGGAGCAACAAGGAGTGTGCCAGCCCCAGTGCATCATCCAGAACAGGATGCCATCCTATGCTGTCTCCTGCCCTCTTTTGGGACGCATGGTGCAGAGGTGGGGGAGGACTTTGGGTGCAGGTGCACCGATCTCACAGGGGCCCCATAAATGAGCATGGCTTATAAATCTGACATTTTGACTAATCCTGCTCCAGAGACAGGGCTCTTGATTTAGACCTGCAAGAAATTGCTGAGCTAGTTTGCTCTTCTACAGTTTCATTTTGTGTCTTTCCTTCTCCCTCCCTGTATTCTACATCCTTTCTGTACATTGCAAACGCATCCATGCACTCACCTCCACAAGCTATCAACCTACAGCCGTTGTTTTGCTGTCTGTACCATGGCACTGATGTCTGTGTGCTTCCCCAGGCCGTTCATCGTGCTGCCGCCCCTGATGGAGTGGATTCGGGTCGCCGTCGCTCACGCGGGGCACCGTCGCAGCTTCTCGGTGGACAGTGATGACGTACGGCAGGCAGCCAGGCTTCTGCTGCCAGGAGTTGACTGTGAACCTCGACAGCTCAAGTAAGTCCACAGAAAGATCGGATGCTTTGTGCAAAACGTGTCTCTCTCTCTCTCTCAGTGACGGCGAATTAGCAGGCAGGCAGAGGGCTCTCTCATTTCCCCGAGAGGTGCACGGATGCTCGGGCTCGTCGCTGCGTGCGCTGCGAAATCAGCTCTGGGATTTGCTCACATCCGTGGATAAGCCGGTTGCACGGTAATGGGTGCCTGAATATCTCACAGCTGGACCGAGCCCGTAATCTGCTCGCCTGGCTTTTTTCCCTTACTGTTAGGTTCTGCTTGGTAATGAGAGGCTGAAATTTTCTGCTAATTGTCTGCTTTGCATTGCTTCGCCCTAGAATACTGAGATACAACTGGCGAGGCTGCAGATATTTTCAGTGCTTTGTTTTCAGCATTAATGGTTAAAGGGCAGATTTAAACTTATAGGTAAGACTACTTCTCATGGTAAAATTGTATTTTCCATGCTAATGTCAGTTCAAATTAGTTGTAAATGTCAGCCTGGATAATTTGACTTTTTCATGTATCAGATGCGACCTTTTGGTTTTCTAATGAAGTCCTAAAGTATTTATTGCCAGAACGTTTTTAGTGTCTGTTTTGCTTCATTGTTATGTACATGTATAAAGGCATGATGTAGGGCTGTGCTGTAGTTGAGAACATAGTTGGTTTTGATTTTTGTATGAAAAGGCATTATGAATCTGCCAAAGGAGAAATTACTCACTGATAACTACTTTATGTATTTGTATGTTTAAAAAACCACATTTTTCAGCAGTCTGCCTCTGCTATAGCACTAGGTGCATTCCTCCCTGCAACGCAGAAAGCAGAGCAACGAGCTACATGATTAGCTGTGACAACCTGCATCAGAGCAGCTGGGCTATGCTGACCCTTGCCTTGACATGCTCTTTCACCAGAGACCATAATACTTTACTTTGTGATCTGCACAAGATTTTTATAGTTGAAGCCATTGAATATTTAATTGAAGAAATATGTTGAATTTCAAAAGCTAGATCTGGAGCGTTGCATATTTCAGATACTGACTGTAATTGCTTCCCTTCAGTGTGAAAATCTTGACCCTCATTTCCAGAAGTGCAGCATTCTGCATCCCTACTGAAGTGTCAAGACTTACAGGCACAGTGCACTTTCTGAGGACCTTGTGCTTGGTTTCTAAAAGGCACCATAAATTCAATTCCTGCTTTGATTTTTAGGTAGGATTGCAAATAAGGCAGTAATGTTTGCTCCATAAATATTCTGTCTTAAAAAGGGAGGTAGACATAGTTAAGTATTTGTGCACTTAAAAAAATGCTGTGTTCTGTTCTTCAAATGTGTGTGTGTATGTATTTTTGTGTAGATATAGAGGCTGGATTGGATGGAGCCACGGGCAGCTGATCTGGTGGGTGGTAGCCCTGCCTACAGCAAGGGGTTGAAACTCGATAGGCTTTAAGGTCCCTTCCAACCCAACCATTCTGTGATTCCCTGAATAACTTGTTAGATGATTTTCCAGAAGTTTCAAAATCACTTGAAGTTGAGGAGAGTTGCATTGTGCCCAAGGAAAACTTATTGGTGATGAGGAACAAATCAGCGTTTAGTTTAAAGCTGCCATCCAGAATTCATTTCCTAATGAATGGAAGCAGTAGCTGTTGTCCTGCCTGTCTCACAGGCAGGAATGAGCCTGAAGAGCGCAGCCCAGAATTAATCAGGTGGGAATGAAAAATTAAATCATTCTGGGGACAAGCTCTGGAGTTCACAGAGACCAAACACTGCAGTGTGCCCTTGTTTGACTCTAGGGGCCTGATCCAACCGCTGATGTCTCAAAGTGAGAATCTCTCCCCACTGCACAGGCAGAGGTCTACGGATGAGTTTTGGGGCACTCATGTTTGTGTCAAGGTCCATCCGTGGTGGAGGTTGGTTGTGCAGTGGGGGCTTAGGCCCTGCGTGCTTGTAATTGTGAGATGCAGAGGAGGCCTCTGCTATTCTGAACAATAATGCCAAGCATCGGGATATTGATTGGAAATCTTGCACTTGCTGGTTTTTATTTGTATTTGGTACAGATCCTCTCTGCTTCTTATTGCCATCAAGCCAAGTGCCAGCCTTCTGTGCCTCCCTGTGAGGGAGGGAGTGTTCCCAAATGTCCTTTCCTCAGCAAGCACTGATGCCATAAATGTAACACTGGGAGAGGACACAGCAGCTTTGCAGGGGATTGCTTTATAAATAAGCTGTGTGACGGATGGCAGCTGAAGGATTTTAAATGCAGTGAGCTTGATATATTTTTGTGACTTTTATGAAGATGTCTTAATAAGTAGAACCTTGAGGCCCATTCAAATTCTAGACTTTTCTTAGCATTCTTCTTTCGTCCCTTAAATACAGAAACTCACCGTGTGTTACATCCCATGGCCCATGTCCTGTGCTGTGTGCAGCTGCATCATTCCCTAGTGTTGATTCACAACCTGTCATTGCTAACACATAAGGCAAAATCAACTTCCACACTGGAAAAATGCACTTGCGGAGAGAGGGAGAGGTCTGGCAGAATCTCAAAGGCTATGAAGTTCAGATAAAAAACAAATGTTCAGTGTCTTATCTGGACTACAGCATGGTATCCCAGTGGAGCCATGTGACACCTCCCAGCACAATCACATACTCCAACAGTGAGGTTCCTGATATGTGTTTGTAAATCATCTCTGCTCTCTTCCTGCCTTTCACTCCAGTACTTCCTCTCTTTCTTCCCTCTTCTGATCTTTAAAAATCCATCCCCTTAATTTCTTTCCCTTAATCTCCTGAAAGAGGAGCTGCTTTTGCTGTGTGCATAGGACTGAGGGAGGTCGGAATCAGGCAGAAGCTGTCTGTCTCCTTCCCAGTCTCTTGATTTTACAGCACCAGACATGCCAGAAAGTTTTTACCCTTTCCCAGCTTTGGGAGATGAACAAGGATATAAATGTTCAACCTTCTCCCAGGAGTGGGAGCTTTAAATAGAGTTGTCTCCACCGCTTGCAAGGAGGTATGTTTCACCTACCTACCAGATGGGTTGACTGCTGGATGTACAACAGCTAGCTGAGACTGAAGCACATAAGTTGTGCCAAAGACATTCTTTGTCATAGTGGGAGACCAGACCTAAATTACATCCTACCTGGTCCCAGGCCATGTTGTGCCACCCAAAGCAGCTGGATGTAGCCAGTAGAGAGTCACATGCCAAGCAGCTCTCTGCTGGCATAAATCTGGTGAAGGTGGGTGCTCTGCCCCCACCACTAGGCTTTTGGTTAGTGAAGGCATCAGGGGTGAAGGAAATTTGCTGTCAAAAGAGTGTGGTGGTGTCATTTGTGTTGGACTTGCTCCTGTACTGCAAGTTGTTCTCAAACTTCTCTAGGTCTGTCTGGTTGTGAACAGATGCCTGCCTTTAGCTGCTCCTCTTCATTCCATCAGCAAAGTGTAGCTTCCCCTTGCTCAACCTGAATACAAGCAGCTCTAAACACATCTCTTTCCTTCCTCCACTCTGTAGGACAGTTATTAAAAAAAAAAGACAAAAAACCCAATGTGTTGGATGTGATGGGGAGAATTCCTAATGGATGACTGCATATGGGGTCTGAAGGCTGAAGGCAGGGAAACAGCGAAGGAGGAACATCCAGTATTGTTCAGCACAAAGGCTGCCGTCTCTTTTATCAGTAGTTTTATTTCTGCTCGCAATATATTATGGCAATCCTGCAGGACGCAAAGATGCTGGAACAAATTGACTGGAGAGAGGTGGCAGTGTCATGCAAGAGACTGTTACACAGCCAGTCTTGCATATGACTGAATTGCTCTATTTTCTGGACAGTCAGAAGTTAAAAGAAAGCGATGGGGTGCAAGTGCATATGAGGGTTTGTATGTTCATTCTGATGTCCAGAAGCAATAAGAATTCAATTCTTTGCCAGGCTAGGCGTTTCTCTGTGGCTGCGGCAGTATCTAGAAGGCCTGTCACATTTGTCAGTGCCCTGTCCCCTTGCCCAGGTCACTGGAAGGCTGCAACGCTATGAGCTGGCCTCTAGGAGAGAAGCAGAGTTCAGTATCTTTGGTGAATGGTTTCTACCTGTCCCTAGATGAAAAGGCTCCTGTCTTGAACACTAGAGAAGCAACATTTTCTGCAACATTTATGACTGTCTAGCACAGGTCACAGCTGCTTCAGCGTAGGCATGTCTTGGCAAGAGGATCACAGGAAGGTTCTTTAAGCAGAACTGAACTCCATTTGGATGATTTTAACCAACCAAGCAATACTTTCCTGGTGGCAAATGATAGAACCAGAGGAAATGGCATGGAGCTGCATCAGAGGAGGGTCAGTTTGAGTGTTAGGAAAAAGTTCTTCATTAGAGGGTGGTGGGCTTGGTACAGCCATCTCAGGGCATGACCCCAGGCTACCATTGTTCATGAGGCATCTGGATAATGCTCTCAGACGTATGGTCTGATTTTTTGGTAGTGCTGTGTGGAGCCAGGGGTTGGATCTCTTCCAATTCAGGATATTCTGTGATTCTCTGATTCAGATGACAAAGGTGGGCAGTGGCATTTTTGCCATCATGGGTGAGTTCCAAAAGAGTTTCTTAATGCCCTATCCTATCTTGATGTGCAGAGCACGGAGCTCCCCATATGTGTAGTCAAATGTCATTGGAGGTGACAACATCACTGCTGCTAGTCTCAATGCTGTTCTCTCAGGTTGCTGGGCTTGCTTCCAGTGATGGCAGTAAATACTCCTTTCTGCTCTGGCTGGCTGAGAATCTGGGTCCTGTCTCTGCTGCTGACCACGGATATATGCATTTTTCTCCTCTTTTCCTGCAGCGCAGAGAGGAAACTGGTATATTTATGTCCCAGCCTTGAGAAGGCACCTGGGAAAGGTGTGCAGCAGTGCTAACAGATGCCATCACCAAAGACCCAATATTTTGTTTTCAGGAAGAAAATCTTGATGGGGAAAGAAAACTAAATAATAACAACAAGGTTATGAAAATGGAAAAACAGCCATCAAAAAGGGAGTGAACTAGGCAGCTTAA